TAGAAAACTTGCCTTATAAGTTAAGATACATATCTTGCAAAGTCAACATATTTTGGAGGTCCTACAAGACATTGCCACATAACTCCTAGTTAAGAGCATATATGAAAGCAAGAATAAAGCCTTCTTTACTCTCGTCAACACCTTTTTAGTCGTTAGTCTTATTTCAAGACTTTCTAGTCTTCTTATTTTTTGGCAATAGCCATTCTATTTCAATATTATATCATCTTTGAGTGACTTTTTAGTTTCTTTCAATGACACAAGAATATATTGAGGATTTTCTTTTTTTAAGATTCTAGTCCTTGACAATAAATTGGCCACATGTTGCACATGTTGGAAACTTATCTTATAAATTAAACACATATATTACATGTTAGACACATGTAAAGTAATCTATAAAACATCTCCATTTAATTCTTTCATAAGATAGTAATATTTGAAAAAAAATAGTAAGGCCTTCTTTACTCTTATTAATGTCTTTCTTTCTTCTAGTCTATTTTTAATAATTTTAGCTTTTTTATCTTTAAAAATAGCTAGTTTAATTTTTTTCTTATATATATATTTAAAAAATTATTTTCTTATTTTTTCTAAATTTTTAAAATTTTTAAATTAAACTAAATATTTAAAAATTTATATATATATATATATATATATATATATATATATATATATTTATATATATTTAAAAATTAATATACTCATTTTTAAAAAAAAAAAACTTGCATATCAAAAATACATTAATTATTTGATATTAACTACATTTGTTGTTATTATAAAGTTAGAAGTTTAAGTTCTATAACTTATATATAAGTTTTTTTGTAGTACATTTTCTTCTTAAGAAAATTTTATTCTTAGTTGTGAAAAAAATTTATTATATTTTCATATATTTTTTCTTAAATAAACTTTATATTGGAATTTCTTAATAAGGTTTATGACCTTTCTACTAGTCTTTTTATTAATTTGAATTTTTAGTCTTAGCTTTCAATTAGCATTAAGATGCATTAGAGGCATGGACATCTAAAAGATGTAAAGCATCTGTATTATGTGATTCTTTAATGTTATATAATAATACTTAATAAGAACTATTAGCTTAAATAATGAGAAGCTATTGAACAAAATAGAAAACAATAAATTTATTTAAATATCCAAATAAAATTTATAGATAGTAAATAAAAAAATAGCACTAGAAGTTTTGAAATTGCGAGATTAAAATATTATAAGAATATTAGTGAATATAAAAATATAAGATATAAAAATAAGTAATTAAAGTATAAATTTATATAAAAAGTGATATTAAAAATATTTAAAAAATATACTTGAAAATAAAAATTATTTATAATAAAAAATTATACCATCAATATTATTTTAATTTTTAAGCCTATTAATGTTTTATTTTTTTTAGTCTTTATATTCTTAATATATTTATATTAAAAGCACAATAATACGAATGCAATCAAATACCTTCACGTAAAAAGAATATAGTCTTTTATTTTTAATTACCTCAAAATCTATATTTTTATGAATTATAATATATAGAAAGTGGTTTATCAAACAAGTTATATTCAAAACAATATTTTTTTGGTAGCACTTAGGTATGAATTTATTTATTTATTTATTTATCATAACTCTTGCAACTTTTGTAATATATAGTTTTTTGGTTCCAAAAATCCCATTTTTTTACAAAATATAAGTTAAAGTAGTTTTTCATTTATTTCCATATTTTAGTAAAATATTATTAATAAAATTCTTTATAGATACTCACGTATTTCATAAAAAATATAAATATAAAATATTACAGCTATATTGCTTGTCTAAATTAGTCTTAAAATTTTAAAATGTAGCAATAATCTTAAACTTGGAGTTTAAGAAATATATCTAAATAATTATTGAAATAATATTTTAAAAAAATAAAATAAAATAAAATCAAAAAAAATCAAAAAAAATAAAAGCATTAGAAAGCATGCAAAATTATTTTAAACATAGTCTATACATCAATGTTAATAAAGTCCAATACTTTAGAAACTTTGATACCTTAGTGAAAAAATATTCTCTAATTTGATTTAGATTAGTAATCTTTATAGAATTTTTTAGGTACAAGAGATTTAAATTTACAAAGATCTATTATTTTTAACTTATGCTTTAATTCCAGATTTGAAACTTTCTGACCATAGTGTACCATAATATCTTAAATTATAGACTATTAAGTATCATGTTAATTGTGGCAATATTTTGAACGCATTTACGTGCTTGTCAACATTTTTTTTTCTTATATAGTCATGCACACTTTTGCATCAATATGAATAAAAGTTTTTGGAATATTGTCAAGTGGTTAGTATTAGTAAGCACTTTCTAATCCACTTAAAATTAGATATTCTATTCATATTTATTTGCTTATTGCTTAAACTTAAGTTAGACTCTTTTAAGACAATTTAGGAGTTTTAATTATCAGTTCTTTTTAAGCTACCTTTATAGTCTCTTTGCAAAAAGAAATCCCAATTTAGGTTTAGTTTTACTTCTATAATAATAAGATTGATTGATCTTAGTATTATAATGCTATACAATATTTTAAGAGGTGAAAATCTAATAATATTTATGAGAGTTGTAGCATAATTGAAGTCATCTTTAAAAGGCTACTCTATCCAATTATTTGTAGTTAGTTGCTATAAAATATTTTAACCAAAATAATAAGTTAATTAATTATTTGAATTTAATTATATTTTTTAAAATTTTAATTCATTACTTTAACTACTTTGGTTTTCAATACTTTCATTTTATGTTACTAAAATTTGATAGAAAATTAAGTATTCTATTTTTAAAAAATACTTTTGGTAAGCCATAAAATACTTTCTAGTAGTTAAAATCTATCAACTAAAACTAAGATTAAAATATACTTTCTATACTATACCAATCTTGTTGTGAAATCAAATAAAATCTATCAAAATAATAATTTATAAATTAGAAGAGATTACAATAATCTTACTTTAAATTAGTTAGTATATTTATTTACTTAATCTATCACTTAGCTTTTTATATAATTATTTACATTATAACTTATACTCAACAAAAAATATGTTATAGCTATGTTGCTTAGAATGATCTTTATTATTTTATCTTATTATAGATATTTTTAAGAATTTATACATTTCTTTTTTTTTTAACAATTTTTCTGGAAATATAAATAATTATTTTCTTTAATAAAATTTAGATCATTTTTTATCACAAAAAACTTCTTTAATCAATCTCAATGATTTTGTCATTTTTTGTTTCTAAAAATTAAAGTAAATATCATTTCTTTGATATCCTTATTCTTTTTATAATTTTACATATTTTTCTTTTGATAAAATTTACATAATTATCTCACACCATGGTCTTTAATAACATTAGATTATCCAACTCGTTTTTAAAAAATCCATTTTTTTATATTAAATACATGTGGATTTGTAAGAATTTGTAAATGAGTTTTATATTTGTAAAAGAAATCACACAATATTATCTTAATTTTTCAAGAATATATATTTTTAATTTTTAAATATTAAAACTACATGCTATTTATAAAGATTATATTAGACTTATTTCAATGTAATGTGCCTTTCTATTTTGACAATGCACCACCATAGATGATTATTTCTTATAGGCTAGTTACAATAATTAATTTCCATTAAAATTTTCAGTTCTAAAAGTCATGTGTCTTCCATCTTCTATTCAGAACCTTTCTATTGTAAAACAAAAATTATCAATGTGTACTTCAATGGCTCAATCATTCTTTGGCTATTGAAAATTTCCAAAAATATTAATTTTTTGTCAAATCTACATGACATATTTTTAAAATATTATTCTAAAAAAATAGAATAAAACAAAATAAAAAACTTTTTTGTTTTTGAAAAGCATATTAAAGAACTTGTTACCTTTAAAACAAAATGACCTTTTAATATTAATTTGCAAGTCATAAGAAGTTACTTACTCTTTTTGGTTTATAAGGTGTTTATTGCTATTATTTATATATATATATATATATATATATATATGAAAATATTCAAATGATCCACCCATTTACTAAATTGACCCACCTTATCATGGAGAGTAAGGGAAAACAAGAAATGTTGAGATGAGAGGTGGAAATGGAGAGAGGGTTAAGATGAAGGCTAAAAATAAAGAAAGCTGGGATTGAGAACAAGGGGAGGAGATGAGGGCCATGATTGTAATGATGGTTTCTAGAAATGATCCATTTTTCTAATGATGGTTACAACAGGGTGGGTCGATTTAGTAAATGGGTGGGTCATTTTAACATTTATTTATATATATATATATATATATATATATAAACCTTCTTTATTAATGTAACTTCTTTAGAATATAAACCTTCTTTATTAATGATATGTCTAATAAATAAATAAATAATTATAAATAAGATATGTTTTTAAAATTTATACATTATATATGCACTATTAACATTTAAGTATTATTGTTGTTTGTTTTTTATTTTATTTTATTTTAAGAAACAAATATATATATATATATATATATCACCAAAAACTTATTGATTTGGTAACTAAAATAAGGTTTTTTGTAGTGTTAAAAGCAACCAATTTGTTACACATTCTAAAAGTCATGACTACAAATTCATATAAATCACAATTAGTTTAGGAGGCTATTTCTTCTAAATACCTTTTTCTGCAATGATAGTTAATAATAACAATCTTTTATACAAGGATTGTTATTATATTATAATTTTAAATTTATGGTCAAGATTTTGATGCTTATTTATAAATGTGTAAAGCGTAAGAGATCAAATTAAAACCTTGAAGTCTCATCCATTTAAAGTTTGATTCGGTTATTGTTGTTGTGAAGAAATTGTAAAATATCCAAATAATCGAAAAGTGCTGGGCGGACGAGGCTCCACCATAAACGGCCTATAGAAGACGGCAGGCCTGTCACCGACGACGGCAGCTCACCGAACAGTGACCCAGAGAATTTCAAGTAACAAGGATACGTACACTCAAGCATTCAAAAGCTGATTAATCCCTCGGTCCCAACACACACCCCCGAACAGAATTCGTTGGTATGCAGTCTTAGGATTCAGAACATCTTATTATAATCTTACAACTTGAATGCGCTCGATTTCAACTCGATTTTCGCGTGCACACATCCCACAACTCGGATAGACACCAACTGCTCCACGACATGGTGGTGAGTCCTCTTCCTGACTAAAAATATGTTCACTTCTGCTGATACTTGACAGCACAGAGTTTGATGCTCAAACCTTACTGACATGCGCCTAGGGCTGAACCAAGCGGAAAACTGAAATTGAAGCTCTATACAAGAGGGAGACTTGTGAATGCCCAGGCGTCAAGGGCCGAGAGCAGAGAGAGGTGATCTCATTCCGGCAAAAAACAAGACTATGAGAATGCTGTTCATCACGGTGACGCGGACCAACCCTGACCCTGAATCCCACAGCCTCATCCTTCAGATATTACACAGGAAGTCGATCTGGACCAGGTGGAGTTGTGTCCGTAGTTTGGGAGGAATTCTCAGGGTCTGCGGTGGGCACGGTCGCGGTCTGCGGCAGCGGAGTGGTCAATACACCCTTTCTTGCTTCTTGAACAATTCCAACAAAGAATATAAAGCCCAAGAAGACCGCAACGAACAACAATGCAATAGCTGTTGTGAACTTCGGTTGGGCGCAATCGGCGGATGTATTAGTCTTTTCCCGCACCCGGTAGCGCTCCGCCGGTCGGCTCAGTGCGCTGCCAGAGGCGAAAAACGCTGCAGCCAAACCAGAGGCAAAACTGCAGACAACCATCATCATTTTCACATCAGCTTTCCGTGAATGCATACACATCCACATAAATAAACGAATACGCAGACCTTACTTCCTTCCAGAGTTGATGAGTCTTTACGCTTTACAAATGACAATGTGCTAGCGATCGTTAAAATCTCACCAGCCGAGAATGCAACCGAGTCCAATTATGGTGGCATTCAAGCCTTCCACCTGCTTCTTGTCGTTCCAGCGACATGTGCAAGCACAGGTCGCAATAACAAGCATTTGAGCCACAAGTAAGATGAGCCCAGCAAGAAGCCCCGTCGTTTGCGCCGGACTGTCGGGGTAGATGCAAATATCCTTGTACAGCAAGACATGGTATTCCTGCACACCATTCATCAGCCATTGCCTGAAACAATTCAGCCTCCCGAACCTTACTGCAAATCCGTATGAAAACCAGAACCGACGAAATCCAAGATTTTGAGGATGGAATTTCCAAAAATCAAACCACTCACTCTTGTGCCACTCGTGTGCTTGGCTGAAAACCCGAAATAGGCTGCTAAGGCTCCAAGGCAGAGATAGAGCAACAGCATGCATACTGTAATCACCTTCATTGTCTCAAATTTCCACAACCCTCTGCTCTACGGTGCTGTGCGCGCATAAACTCGCTGGCCAGATCGACTTGTAAATTCTACAAGATCATTTAAAACTGAAGAATTATCCAAACTCAATCTCTACAACTACAAGAGCAGCCCCCGGTTCTGGACCTCCAATATGTATGACCTTCCTTGCGGATCGCTTTCACGCGAAAACGTGAAGTCAAAAACCCCATAATCTCTTCTGCCAAACCAGTACTTCGGTGGATGGAAAAACCAACAAATTATGGCGAACTGGAAACCTTCATTTCGCAAAAGCGCGTAAGACCGTCTGGAATCACTGGCACAATCACCTCAGATGCTGCAATTTAAGGATAACAGAAGAGATCCATCTCCTAGGGTTACAATAACCTGTAATAAAATACCAGAGTAAGGCAGGGCGCTTCCCCCGCTCGGACTAGAGAATTTAAGGTGTGGTGAGGAGCTTCATTTCGAAAAATTAGAGAAGGCTGTCACGAATCACAGTCATGGCCAAGCTCTATTCGCCCAGATGCACAGCTTACGGCGCATTGAAATACGCCATTTAGCAAGACTTAAGGGAGGATGTCGAGAATTGCGAGCATACTCGAGTTTCAAAACCTCCAGCTAGCATTCAGGAGTTTAGGATGTGCGCATGAACCATCGTAGAGCAGCGGAGATCGCAGACATGGCTGGAGCTCGGGAATTCAGGGCACACTGACGACCTCCGACCCAAATACAACTAGAATGGGTGATGGAAAAGATGGAGGAGTGTCGCGCTGAGCAGCACACACGATCTGCTTGATCACCCGCAAGAGACTCAAAAACTTCGGCGGCGAGTGGTAGATGTAGGGCCCCCAAATTTGTATGCTCTCCTCGACGCAGACGACCTCTGCAAATTCCGGCATTCTCATCAGTCGTCTGTAAACTACTTGACGACCGGAATCGTGAATTAAACAACAACCGGTCTCCTGCAGATATCGTCCACCTCAATGAAGACTCCATTACTACTTAAGATTTGTTGCCACATCCAGCAAACGCGTGATTGTTCAAAAGCGAGTGTGGATATTTGTGAAAATTCTTGAGCGAGGGTTTCTAAGTTTCAGCACTCTCTCCACAAACGACATCTGCGTAGCAGCACAATCTCGACTGGAAACTGGGCCATGTCCAAAACAGATTGCAACCAATTGCAGCTACTGTAAACATCTACTTTAGAGTGCGCTTCACATCCGAACAGAATTCATAACACGAGGCGCCTATCCACGGAAGCTAAAACCAATCACCAATTTGAACATCACTCAACATCCCGAATCTATGCCTCCTACTTGCAAGGTAGACTATGATCGTCCCGATCACGTTCAGCTCCTTAACTTATACATCGTGAGTGTTCTGAAAAGTTTCGCAATAAAAAATTTAATATAAAATTGCAAATAATAATAAATGCTTGTGATCCGTGAAATTCGGTCTCAGTACATTAAGTTCTTGAACTTAGTGGGATCACGATTTAACATGTACTTGTGATCCAGAAACAGCTACATGCCCCTAGATATGCAGAGAATTCAATAGCTTTCAATTAATAGTGTGTGCTACAATCCAGGTGGCGGCCAGTAAGCATCACGCACTATCTAACCACACCATACTTGCGTCCTGCACCTAACCCGAAAACCCGTTCCGCCACAAATGACAGTATCTTTCGGGAATGACTCAATGCTCGAGATTTTATCCACCGGTAACACCATGTGAGAATACATCCCTAATGTCTACTATGCCAACGCGAAGAAACTTGAGCCCTCGCAATCCTTGTAGAACTCATCCACACAGAATCTGCAAGGAGGTCTCGCTCACCTGCTACACACCGTTCCCTCGACCCCGTTGCGCCTTGCTGCAGAGCTCGCAACCTGGCAGGCAACTAGCCTCAACGACGTTCCGCTCTTTCAGCAACACTTCCGCTGGTCTGTAGTCTCCACAATCTACAACTCGTCTCAGCTTCCTCCTTTACCAGCTCATAGATTCGCTCTGCGCGCAGTGGAACTAAGCCAGCCAATCTCTGTGCACTCTCTCCTTTAATCCTCGGATATCGCCGTCCAAACCTCGCAACAAAACTATTCGCTCCTACAGTCTGCCTCCTCGCTCTTCGATAAGTCCTCTCACCCCACGTTCAATCAAGGAACTCAAATATTTCCATCATCGCTGCACGCCATTCAACACACTCTAGAACGGATTTGAAAGACTTCAAGGTGTGACGTGAGCGGTGAGACAAATGAGTGGAAGAAGAAGAAGAAGAAGCAGAGGAAGCAAAGACCTGCACCGAAGGCATCTCTGCGGAACACCCACCTGGCACTTCATTCAGATGCCATCTAACACATGTCTCTTCCCCGGTCGCAGAAGTCCTCGACAACGATGGGGTGGATCGTGACAATGAAAACAAGGATTACACTCAACGTTGGGCCTGGTTCTCTCTTTCGAAGCAACTGGAGAGGCTTCTCAGTCGTCGAACCATTCCTCTGGTACGCGACCGTCTTGTTGCGTCTTTATCTCGGGTGGGTTCGGATTACAGTCAGACGTGCCTGGATCGTAATGACAGCAAGATGGCCGTATGGAAGGGATAGTATCTTAAAAGTACCACTCGCTCGAGAGGTTGTAGCACACAAAAGTACCACGGCTGTTACTGGGGCATGAAAACTAGACATCGCCGTTCCCATATGAACCGAAGTTGACTAGACCCCCCTTTCGAGCGGTGCTTGCTTTAGCAAGTCCCTTCATTCGCGGCTTTGTTCACCGGGTAGCTAGGAACCGCCGATAACCTCGGCTGGCCCGCCCACCTAGATTGACGACCAAGTGGGGAAAGCAGATCGCCCTGCACCAGATGGGCCCTTCCCGCCCGTGTCGACTTGTCCGATTTCGAATGACCTCAAGACGAATGAGAGTTATTTCCTCAAGCTGAAAATGAATTTTACTTCAGCATTTTGAAATAACTTAATCGGCTTGTGAGTGCATCGCTTGTGTAAGATTAAAAATAATAAATAAATAAATAAATAAAAGGCAGTCCCTTAGTCGGCATCTTACCCTGGTTCACCTGTGCACTGATACACACGATCGCAATTCTGTTACTGATTTGGTCTATACCATGTAAAAACCTATGATCCAACCATAGCCCGCTGTAGCTCTGGGCGGCTAGAACAGGCCCAGTTTCAACTTAAACTCACCTTCACATAATTTAATCGTATTACACATGAAATGCTTCGCTCTTTTCACACTACTTTGATTCGAGAGAGTGTCTCCTTGCAATCTCTTAGTCAACGAGAGATGAAAAGAAAAATGACCTGATCAGAACTTCATCTATGAAAATCCGGGATATGTCACTGCCAGATGCGGGCACCAAATCTCTTGAAAAAATTTCAACACTAGCATGGTTCATGAGAATTGGAATTTGGATTTCTCATGAATAACATTTTCTGGATCACGGATGGCGATCTATTAAGCTCAAGAGCATGCATTAGGCGAATTCAAAGTCAACATGTATTGGTCAAAAAATACTGAGTTTATGCTCCTGAAATGCAAACGTTGAGAAAACTCTGCTGATCTAAGGCACACACTTCGTAAAATTTTCGAGCAAATCACCTTCAGAACTCTTGGATGATGATGATGAAGAAAGTGAAGGGGCGTGAGGAGGATGTAATGTGGCCCCGACCTACGTTCACGTAAGGATCGGCATCTGAGCTTCCAGAACCCTGTCACAACCCATGACACTACCGTTCCATCCCCACCGGGTCCACAGCAAATTGTATCGTTGGAGTGCCGACAGGGCACCGTGGCGAGGTAGTTGGATGCAGATGGTGGCTGCCGAATCAACACCAGTGCCTCAAGTTCAAGCGAACGACATTCATTCGAGACATTCATCCATCTATATTTGGCGGCGAGTTTGGCGGACATCACGAAAAAATCCGATGGCATTTCCGCCTGTGCCGCAGAAAGCGAATTCTCTCTCCACCACCGGATAAGTTCAAAAGGCTGTGTGCAGAAACCCAGGTGGTAGTCATCCCCTGTGGAGGATCCAAATGGACCCTGGCTCAAAGGACCCCAGAGAGTACGGGCTGGGTATCAATCTGACATCTCAGCGATCACTTCCAGTCTCTTCTTTTTCTGTAGCCATGGGACCACTTTATTCTCTGTACTTGCCCGCGTGCGAACGAAAGCTTTGCTGCAACTCGTTGAAGTTGGAGAAGAAAAAAGGGAGTCCCAGTGTCACCATGCAATAGGCATGATGAGATGGGAGTCAACCTTAATCTCCTCGGGAGAAAGCAAGACTGTTCCTGTGGAAGCTTCATCCACACTCTAGCAAAGGAACCATGACCCCATTAGTACCACTCAGCATTGTTTTTGCAGCCTGGCAGGACACAAGGACACACAGACGGACGGACGGACGGTAATAAAGGACAATTGAACGGACGGTGGACGAACAGAAATTATCCTCGATGTAAAAACGCGTTCTGTGGGTACACGACTGTGGTTGCCGGAAGGCTGCCTCGTGTGCTACCAGTGCACGAACTTTTGGAGGGAGCGGTGGATGAAAAGAGAACATCGGTACGACCTATGTGGGACTAATGGATGGATGATATATTGTCTTGCCCCATCCTTTTCAGAAACGGTGCATTCAAACATAAATTATCTGGACTGTAGAATAAATTTTCCTAAAGAAGTAAAGTGCTGGCATCCATGGTATTTTCTTACCACAAAACTATCCTGTTCGGATTTACTCATGGATTTTGATCTCATTCACAATATATTTGAATGATACTCCTTTGACTGCCAAATTGACTGTCAGTCCTCACCATGGGACCAGTTTGAACAAAAAAAAAACAGAAAATAAAGCAAAGTAAAAAAGTAACATTTATAAAAAAAAATCTCTTCTGGTTTATAGTATATAACTGCTGGACTTTTCCCTATTTTTGGTTCCTTTCCTGACAGAGCCTTTAATAAATGGAGGGTGTAAAGGCTCTTTCATGAGTCAATACACGAAGTTCAACTATTTTATTTTTTTTAGAATTGTTTTGAAGAGTATCAAAGAAAATGGAAAAATCTGTAAAGGAAAGGAGAAAGGACATGGATAGGAAGAAAGTAAAGTAGAGAGAAAGATTCACAAGGGGAATGAAAAATGAGAAAAGAAGCAAAAGAGGATCAGTATTGATGCTCTTTGTTGGCAGCCTTTGGGTAAGACAAAGGGATTATCCTACTTCATTCCATTCCGTATATGGTAGTTTTTCGAATGAAAAACCGTAAATGTACGTTTTTTAAAAAAAATTAATAGGAAAAGTATCGTAGAACTTTTTGAGGAATTTCACTGTCCTATGTTTTTTCTCATGACAAAAGTGGAGACAAAAGTTTTAGTCCAAACACTTATTGCCAACAACCAAAGCTTTTAAGCCCATCTCATGGATCTGAAACAAAGCAGAAGAAGAAAAGAAGAAAACGGAGAAAATGAATAGTCCATGGACCAGGTTGTAGGGTTAAAGGTGGATGGCACCTCACTTACAGCAAGAAAAAGAAAAGGAAAGAAAAGAAAAAGCATAATACATAATACAAACTAACAAACAAACTCCAAACGAGAGCCATGAGCTTTTCTTTTATCTTTTTTTCTGATTTTTGTTCTGTTGTAAAGAATTTCCGTCTTCAATTGCGGGAGACACGAAACAGGAGGTCAGAATCAGAGGATGTCACCTGTAGGCTCGATCATCGGCAGCTGGACCTGTGTTGACCTGCGACACCGAGAATAGAAGCTGCATTGTGAAGAATGTGTCCATGAGAGACGTATTCTCTGCAAGCAATCGCAATCGGGGCAAGAACCCTTCAAGCTATCAAGTCATTCATTCACCATCGTCTCGCTCGGTGTTTTCTTGCCTTCTCACACAATGGCAACAGAAAAGCTTGCGTCGCTCTCCTGGTCCTCCGATAAGGTTTGAACGACAGCATTAGAGGGAACGAGAACCGACAATGTGAGCTGGGAATGTAGAAGCTTATACATCCCCTGTTCGGCGGAGGGCACATGATCCCCATACAAATGTCGCTTTCATTTTTCTTTGTTGTGACTCGTAGACTTTGACATCCAATGTCTTCTTCGACCATTGAAAGAAAACTTTCATTCCTTGAGAATCCGAATAAATGAAGTTGCATCGTGGCCTAATTGTAATTTGGAATGAAAGTGCAAAAAGCGATTCAACTAATGTGAGCTTTTGAAGGTGGTACTGAAATGTTACCATGTAATCTCTTACTACGGCAGTATCGTGATTGCTAATCAATGACACAAATGTCAAATTGTTTCACAGACTGAATTGGTGAATATGAATGATGAGTATGGAGTTGATTATGAATTCAACCACATTCAAGGACACTATGTTATTTTTTACAGCAGTTATTTCAAGAAATTCGACCTGATTATCTGATAACTGCAAGATCAGAGATGGACTTTGTCCCAAGCAATTCTGAGGAGGAGGAAGAAAGGCTTGATCACCAGAAGTGCTTAGAGGCACTAGAACAGTGCTGCAGCCATTGATCAAGGATTGCAGTCCATCTCGAAATCATGAATCCCTGAGTAGTAGCCGTGTTTGAAGCATGAATCGTGAGAGTTGACACCGTAGCTTGAGCTAAACACTTCCTTCGGACATCTAAACATTGGCTTTGAAGTGCAGCCGAGTGCCGTTTCAATTGCATTGGTGTTGTAAATGTCATATGAGCAGAAAATAGAAGTGATAGATGGTGTGCACATGGTAGCTCTGTTTTCATAAACAGAGCTAGAGCTTCGCAGCTTGAGCTTCTTACGGTGTTGGGAGGCAAGCCCGATTATTACGCTTCGTAACGTCTTCCAGTGAATATTACAACCTCATCATTATTCAAAGTTGATGAAAAGACAAGTTAACTGAGAAACATGCCGTTGGCATCGGTATTTGAGGTCGCGTACACCTCGAGAAATACTTTAGTGGGACATCTCAGGCCGACCACTGAACATACCAACAACCATAACCTCGTTACTTATGTCTGTGTGACAACGTCTAACCTCTCCTTTTGCTGATTACACACAGTAAATGTTTGTTGGAGGCTGCATTCCACGACAGAGTGCAAGGTTATGTCGGCTATCATGAGCACCGTCGTCATGTAGCAGTTTCTAGTGTAGAAATCACATAGCCGCTTGTCTCTACCTTCTCCTGCTTGTTGGCTCTGGACCCCAGCCCCCCGTCGTCCTCTTGCTTGTGGATCTCTGCTTGCAATCACGCCCCCTCCCCGCTCCTTATTATTTGCATCTATCTTGGGCCTCTCTTCTCTGCCTTTCCCTGTTTGTTTGGCCTGCTGCCCTTATCCTCTTTAATTCCCTTCGCCTCCACTGCCCTGCCTCTTCAATTAGCCCTTTGTGTCGTTTGCTTTGCTCCTTTGATTTGTGTCTGTTGTTTGCTATTTCAGACTCATGTGTCGTAGTTGACGTTTGTAAGTTGCTGTTTGTGCTCGTGCATTACTGTTTGTCTTTGTGCACTGCTGTTTGTGTTTGTGTTGCTGTGGTATTTTCCATGCAATTCTGAACGGTGTGGGAGGTGTCGCTAGGTTCTACTTCAAATGTTCTGTGAAACACTATTTTTGAAATTGAAATCAATGCAAAAAAAAAATATTCAAAAATCCTACACACTACTGC